TCAAGCTTTACATTGTAAATAAATATTGAGATATTTTATAATAATAATTGGGTTCATAACAATGTCCAGTCACAGAATTTGGGATCGCCCCAATGCTCCAATTAGCCTTGAGGCCTCCTCTTTGAGGGTCACATGTGGTTCCTTGGGTAGTGCCACCTCCATATCTGTCTGTGGCTAAATGGGAAGGAGATTTTATATTATTTTATGCTCTGTCAGATGCCACATTGCATTCTGTGGCTTGTGCATTAGGAGTATTGGCCTGGCTGGCATACTGCCCACACTCATGTGGGGTGGGAGTAGGCCCTCCTTTACTCTCAAATATTGCTATGCATTCATGCCCTCCTCTGAGGCAATTTGCTTGCCTCTATCTCTCTCTCTCTTACCTCCTTCCCATGAAGTTGCAGTCAGGTGTATGTTGAGGGGTTTGGCACAACCCACATTAAGGCACACTACAGCATGTAGTGGGCCTATCTATTCACGGGGTTCTGGTAGGAGCTCTCTTAGAACTGCCATCCCAGTCCAGTCTCACGCCAGATCAGGTAAGCCCTAAAGTGGATTAATTGAGGCCTCTTCTTTGGGGGCACACTTGGTTCCTTGGGGAGTACCACTCCCCAAGTTCAATCTAGAAAAGTAGTAGGCTTTCCTCAGCGGAGACATGTCATCGATCAGGTTTCTGATGAATGATCTTCCCGCTGGGACCACTTGTGCTGCATCGTTTAACAAGCCAATGATGACCTGTATATCATGTTTGGTAGCAGCTTTCTTTCCCACCCATTCCCTCTGCAATCTGATGAGTTTCTCTTGAGGCAGCCTAAGTTCTCGCTTGATAGTGTCAATTTCTATCCCTAGGAAGGTGAGGGAGGATGAGATGACACTACAAGGTAGCTGTCTGCGTGTATGAATTTCCTGACTCTGTCTCATTATTAATGATGCATTGCCTGTTCTCTGGTGCCAGAGTTTCTCCTGGAAGTAGAGCATACTTAAAGATGATGAATGAAGAAGTAGAACTAATTTTAGACACCCTGGAGAAGAATTATCAGTTTGTTAGAGGTGACTTGGAAAAGCTTTTAAGGGAAGGGGTAGTTTGTAGAGGCAAGTGCTTGTCCTTTTTAAGTAAAATTGTAAAGGCAAGGAAAGAAGTTGTTACTGGTGAAAAGAAGATATTGCATGTATTTGGAGATGTGATTGTCAAGAACAAGATTGGTCATGAAATTTCTGAAACCCTGCTTACATCTTCTCCTGAGTCACAAATAGCACAATACCACTCTACTCCAGTTACTCCCAAAAGCCGAAGGATGAAGTCATCAATTGGAGTAAACCTTTATGCATGTGTGTTTTATGTTTTAACTGAATTTTTTATTATAGGTTTTTACGATTTGCAATGGCAAGAGTCGTGTCACATACTTACCTCTGTCATTACAAGGAATTGGTTGTTCAATTAAGCTAAAAAACAGGAAGTCCATAGTTGATTGTGTCATAAAAGACAAAGAATGATACCACGTAAAGTTGGGAAAATTATTTGTGGAGAAGTTAAAAAGTATGCAAGAAGGATTCTCTTTTTGTTAATAAAACGCCAGCCGTCATCAAAACTTTTAGTTGGACAAATGCAGTTGATAATTTGAAAAGTGATGCCCCATTTCTCGTTTCCATTCTTGAAGGGTCTAGTAAGAAAACTGGTCTTCAGAAGCATATAGTTATTGTAGTCTGTGCTTCAGTGATCATAAAAAGTCACTGTGAGCGAGCAAACCTCTTTCAGAGACTAATGTCCATGCTAATGTATGCAAGTCATTTACCGAAACAAGTATGTCACAAAAGTTTTATCCAATTAATAATCTTACTCATTTTTATCCTAGTTGTTTCAACGTTTTGAGAAAGTTGGTATTTGTGTTTCTCATAAAACAATCATCTGTATGATTGATAAACTGACCACAGATTTTTATCAACCTGTAAAGGAATGGTCTTCCAAAATATCAAGATGTTTGTGGCAAGACAAGTCAGTTGAGTACCTCAGCTTAAATGATTTAAAAAAAATTGTTATAATTTTTAGAGACATAATTCCTGAGAACCAGTCTAGTGTATCACAAGTTGATACTGACGTTGAGATTAGTCAAGCAAGAGATGAACTGGAGGGAAATACTATTCCATCTCTTTCACAGGCATCTGAAATGGAATTAGCTGTTGATGATATCACGGATTCAGAACTGACTTCGCCATCAGTATCTTCTGTTTCAACTCCTAACTACTCTGGGTTATCAGCCTCTGAAGCCAGTAGTGTCAGTACAGAAATAGTCACTGTTCCTCCTCCTACATCTCAAGTTGCATATTCTTTCAAAATTGTCGGGGATAACCTTGACAAATACGTTAAACATAGACATGAAACAGTAGATTGCCACTCATTGTCACTCCATTATTTTCATTCATATTTTTTTCTAGATAAATGCAGCACTGAAGGATTAGCAGATCTGCCTTCTCTTCCAGATATTACATCAAATGATTTTTCTTCTGCAGATATATTACCAACACAAGCTGATGATAACATTCTAATTGAGAACGGTACCATAATATATGCCAGAATTATACAGAAGTATATGCCGTTTTTTAAGAAGAATATACCAAGAGTCATTCGTCACATTACCCATCCTTACTCTTCTCAAATGTCACAGGAATCAGTTGTGGTAAACTTAGAGTAACGTAGGTAGTTTACGAACACTTAAGTTCAAAGTACTAATAAAAAAATTTAAACATTTGAGAAGGAACCCAATTTTTTTCTGAGGGGTAGAGCTCTCCATCTGCAATAGGTATAACCAATTTCAGCAAGTTTGCAATAGCTATTCTATGTTATATTTGACTGCAAATGATTATGGTCAATTGCTAAGTCCAAACAATGAAATGTCTCTTAAAATACAAAAAACTTCAACAGCTTGAAACTGCAGACTCAAAGTTTTTATGCCAACATCATATATCAATACAAAGGAAACTAAATACACTATTTGATGGAATTATGTAAAACAACATATAAATAATGTAGTAAGAGTTATTTAAGAGCAAATACACCCTGGTGACAAAGGCAATTACCAGACAGTGTTAGTCACACATGCAGTAACAACAAACACGGGAGAAATGGAAGACTGAATACTTGGAAAAGGCTATAGAGACAGTTTGTGATGAAAAATCTTTGTTACTGCTAGAGAAAATACTCAATAACAAAGAGCTCCACCAATACATGCATGACCACTCCAGCTTCAATATTAAGCAAGTTTCAGCAAGGCTTGGTCTATCACCTATACAAGAAAGGAATGAATTAGTATAGTAGATTATCAAAATAATTAAAATAGGGTATCAGATAGCCTCGCTGCCTCGGACAAAAGTCCCAACAGTTTCCAACAATATTCGATGGGGGCATGTATTTTACGGAGAAACCCAGAGATAAGCCTATGTACCCCAAGCACTTCAAAGTTGGTAGAAGAATGAAAAAGGATGATGCTTTTACTTGCTGTGCATGTGCACAACCTGGTCTTTGTGGACTAAAATACACAGGAAAAAATTCATAAAACACATGATGGGTTAATTATGGGAATATTATTGGGAATTTAAAAATTCCCATTGAAATTCCCATTATTGTGATAGTAGAACAATCTCCAATAATGGGATTTCTCATAATACCATAATGGAAATTCAGTAACCCATTGTAAGAGTTTCTTATTTTTTCCATAATGGATTCTAAAAATTTCCATTATGGAATCATATTACCATATTAAATCCCAGTCCAATACCAGCCTGGTTTTCAATTACTTGTCCCATTGCTGTAATTTTAATGGGTTATTTCCCATAACAGTTTCTGCCAATTTCCCAATATTGATATTTTTATTCCTATATTAAATCCCATGAACGGTTATACCTGATACCAGACTGATTTTTGGTTAGCAAATAAAAATCCCATTATTGTATTTACAATGGTTAATTATTTTTCATAATGGCTTTAGCTAATTCCACTATAATTCCCATTTAGCTAGTTTCCCATATTGCATTACAAATGGAAGCTGACAATTTCGCCATAATTTATTGAAATTAATAAAATTTTATTAACTGTATAAAATATACAACCTGATAAATTTAAGAGAGAAGAGACAAATCCCAATTAAAGCATATATAAACAGAAAAAATTTTTGGCAATAAGAGTCGTTCATTAATATTAAAATGTTCCACTTTTAACAATATCTTGCCTTGTAATGTTTTCAATGTCAACGTTTTCTTTAGTATAAGTTACAATTCCTTTCTTCAAAAACTGAATGGCTAAAGGCTTTAAAAAATGGTGTTTTTCAGCCCCTTGGAGTAGTGACCTTTCTTCTCTGCTAAGTAATGTTTTTGCAGCAGCAGCAAGTTGCTTTCGTGCTACTTCTTTGATGAAGTGTGCTCCATATGCACACATGACCACTACCTCTGCGCTATTCTGTGTCATTTCTATGAATATAATAAATACATAAATAAATAATAAAATAAAATTATTTTTTGTTATTTTTTGTGTACTTCCTTCTCCTCCCATAATGATAAAAATGATACAAGATTTGAATCAATTAATTAATGTTATTTGATTGTAAATAATTACAGCTAATTACCTTTCTTCTTGACAATTATGTTTTCACTATTATCATCATCATCTTCATCACTCATCAGCTGATCTAAAAATTATAACTCCTATGTAAGTCATGATAAAAATGAGTAACTACCATCTTCAATATCACTTGCAACACTTGAAGTTTTCCTACATGTATCTGCTATAAACATAAAATTATATTTATTTTTTCACATGTATACCTGTGACCAAAGATTTCAGTGTTTCTTTGTCATCTACAAGCTCTTCTGATGTTGGCTACACCATTAAAGTTCAATAAGCAAAAAGTATTATTGAATAAATTACTTGTATCTCATGTGGTGACTGCTCTATTGTTATAATAAAAATTAGATATACACATACTATGTACATACCTTTCAATTCATCTTTGTTTATATCACTTTCCTCAAGATCTAATAAAAAAGGTAAAAATGGAGTACATAAACAGTTAAAATTATTTTAACCATATTTGGTCGCACCAGCCTCATTTGACTCCTCCAATTTGAGCCTTTTCTTTGCTGAGCCTGAGGTCTAAAACAAATGGATTATTCATGCCAATAATTAGAGAAGTACTTACATCTTCATAATCATGTCCTTTTTTGACACATCGTCTCCTTTCTGTCAAAGTGTCTAATATATGGCGTCTTATGGCCTGACGGCCAAAAAAAGGCAACGAGCACTCCTCTTCAATTGTTTTTACTAAACTATCTAGCTTCTTCATATTCTCTTGATTATTTTTAAAACAAGGAATATCATTTCCTGGCCACTCTTTCCTTGCAGCAGATGCAACTTTATTTCTCCTGTATGCATGCATACATAATGAATACAATAACAACTAATAAAATAATAATTCATACTTCATGTAGTACAATCTCTTTTCCTCTGGTGTAAGATTTTTTATCTCAGACAGCTTCAATTTTCTTGTGCCTTTTGGAGTTGCAGATGTATTTGTACTAGTGCCACGTGTTGGTGTGGTAAATGAAGCTATACCAAAAGTTGAGTCTGCATTACCACACACTGTGGCAAAAACTTTTCTCAACTTCATTTGGTCCTTGATTATTTTGAGACCACATAACTGCATCTGTTCCACTGATGCACAATTTACTACCATTTGTAGAGTTTCCCCATCCACCATTTGCTCTATTTAATCAAGAAAAGAGCAATAAAGAAGGTTAAAAAAATCATATAATGGTCACAACACTACAAGAGTCTGTTAAGTGCTAATTGCTTACAATTACATACATGCAGTATGCACTAAACAAACAATAACTTATTATAATAACTTAATAATTTAAATCATTTAATCCATATCCACATGCATGAACACGTGGGATCACTAATTAATTAATGGCTACTATTTACTAACCTCGAAAACATCTCATTATCTCCTCACTTGAAAATTCTTTTTCAACCCACTTACACACATCATCGACGCCCCATTTTAAGAAATCTTTGTCTGGCTCCATTTCTCAACCTATATACTGTACTTGAATACCGGTAGCCGACGGTGCTCAATAACACCTGCTATATAAAACTCTAAAGCTAAAGGCGGCATAACCAGTGAAATACATATCGCTGCTGTACTTGTTCACAACTTTATCCACCTAATCCGCTCTTTCTCAAGTAATTAAAACGACCTTCAACCTGTATAGTGTCCAACCAGCTGCAGCTCAAGCCCGCTCTTTTCAGTATCTTTTTCCGGTTTCAGTTATTAACAGTTAATGTCTTGGTCTAGAGCGGAAGTATCTTATTGCAGATGTGAGGAGCTTAGTTTCAACCATGCTCACTGTCCATGCAGCTTGTGCAAAGGCAAAGCAGTTTCTCGATCTACAGAGTATAGACACTGGCAACAAAGCAAGTTGCTTTTGGGTAAGGATAAGAAGAACAATTATAATATAGCCTATTCATAATATTAATTTTTAATCATGATATAGAATCTACTGGTGAATCAGGATCTTCTAGTCATGGTACTCGTGATAGAAGCCCTATAGAAGAAGCACCTTCCACACAAGATATTGCAATTCCTGGTGCAGAGCTTGATACTGATATTGAATCACTAGAGACTACTGTAACTGAAGAACCTGCTGCTGCAAATGCAACCGCCACTGATTTAGGTCATGAACCAACATCATTACGGTTTGGACTGAATATTGATAGGGACATTGTAATTTCTGTATTGAGAGCTCTTAAAATATCAGACACAATGTGTGGTTCACAGATGGATTTTCTGCAGATCTTAGAGTATGGTAGGGACATGTATTGTAAAAGTGACTCAGAAAAACTGAAAAAGTGGCCATCATCTATAAATGCTTGCATGAAGCTTCTAAAAAGTGCAGGGTACAAAGATCCTTCTACATACTACATCTGTCTCAACAAAAGTCATCCTGGTTTATGGAGCATCATGGACAAAGTGGACAGCAATTGCAAATATTGCTCCAAACCTGGAACAATACAGTATCATTATTTACCTCTTGCAGATAAGGTTAATAGATGGTGTTCATCAGCAGAATTTTGTGAAAAAATGACAGAGCACTGGAAAAACAAGAGTCACTGGTTGACTGGATCTAATAGCATTAAAAAGGAAGTATGGGATGGAGATAGGTTTAGGGAACTACAGTGGTTTTGGGATCCAAGTGTAACATGGATTTTGCCTACAAGGTGCGTCACATGCAATAATGTCATCAATTTGGATGAGGCCGTGAATCATGAAGGCACACAAGCATGTAATGACACTATTAGCATTATATGTCCACATTGCTATGCATCATTTGACCATGTTCCCAAATACACCAATGGAGATCCAAGGAATATAGCACTAATAGGTCATTAGGATGGCTGGCAGCCCTTTTCTACATCTATAAAACATAGCTGTGGTATGTATATATTTGTGACTATATTGAACAAGATTACATTTTTTTACAGGAGCAATCGAGTTTCAGATTGCAACTATGAGCAAGTTAGAACGGTCCAAAACAAATGAAGTTTATGTATGCGGGTTTATTCCAAATTATCTTCTTCCAAACAAGGCATCTTGGTACCTAGATCCATTTCTTCACCCTTTGATAACAGAAATTGAAGATTCATTTATTAATGGTAAGGTATATATGTGTGTAATATTAAATGATGTGCATCACAGGTATAAATGTTGATTATAGAGGTTTTGTGGCTGGGATCAACCCAGGACCAGCAACACTACGCTGCCTTATTCTTTGCTGGACAGGAGACCATCCTGCTCAATGCGAGGTTGACAAGTTTCTAGCATCAGGTGGAGTACATGCTTGTCGACGTGATAAACTACAAGGTTTGCTAATTTGTTATGCTGAAAAGTTATTATGCTGCAATGGCTATAGGAACATCATCCCCTAATACCTCACAATACTACTATGGCAATTACCGTTACCATACACGTCACCCTTGGCCATTGAGATCACAGTGAAAGCATTGCTCAAATGAAGGCTGTTGATGATGAAGATAGGGTGAGTGTTCGTCAGAAAAAAGCCAGTGAAACAGGATTCACTGGTTTGTCTATTCTTCACCGTTTGCATGCATTATATAAGTTTGACATTTTGAGAGATTTTGTTTTTGACACAATGCATACTTTGTTGCTGAGAATTGTGAAAAGGCACATAGATTATTTTAAAGAGCAAGGATATATAGATCAGTCTGTTGAACAGAGATTAATAGCAATGCCATGGACTACAGGTACATTTGTAAATTAGCATGTACTTTTAATCATTATCATTTAGAGTTAAAGAATGGTTGCATTCCTGATGGAATTACTAAAAGGTTAGGCTTCTGGAAGGCAGAGGAATATCAAAAATTTGCTTTCCCAGCATCTGAGTATGTTCTGGGAGGTAAACTGCCTGATGAACATTATAAGGTCTGGATTCTAATTGTTAGAATAGTTGAAATGACTTTCAACACTGAAAGAAGTGGATGGTCAGAAGATTCATTGAAATTGTTGCAGCATCTAATCTGGAGGCACAATATTTTAACTGAAGAGACACAAGGACTTCATAGTTGTGTTGTGTCACTACATAATCTAGTCCATCTTCCAGATGACATTATGAGGTTCTCAAGTCCAGATAATTTCTGGTGCTTTGTCTTCGAGAGAGCTGTGCATACATATATAGAACGATCTTCTAACAAAAAAAATCTTGAGCTTACTTTTGCAAAAGCAGAAAGCAGAAGAGAATTTTTGAAGTTTCTGACATCGGAAGAAAATGAGAGAATAATACCCCCAGTAATTACATTGAATAAGGTAACAAATAAGAAGCACATTCATTAAAATATATATAAATTTTTATTTGCAGCCATATCATGCATCTTCAATTGAGCAAGCTAAGCTATTCAAACTGCATGAAGTACATGATCCAGTTTTAGTTGGTGGAATAAAGTATGTGGCATTATCTGCAAATGAAATCCAGTCTATTTTGCCATCCAACACTTCACATGGAGCTGACTATTTAGCTATGTCATGTAGGAGTGTTCTTTTCTTATTTCAGGGTATTAATGGCACATTATATCGTACCAGTGAATATGTTATTGTCCATAGTAACTGTGACAACAGGGGAAATGTCATTCGAGTGATAGGCTTTTATTCAATCACAGTTGATGATAAGTGCTATGTTTTTGTGAAAGGGGAACATTACCCTTACCCACAAAATAACCCTATACATATTTATAGCAGCAACCCTTACGTTATTCCTTCATCACACATAATGTATTTTCCAGCTCATGATATAATAAGTAAAGTCATGCTTTTCCCAGATCCAGACAACATAACATCACCATCTAAGTTTATTGTAATTAACTTCATGCGACATCAGCTACCAATAACAGAGAGTGATGTCATTATTCCAGTGTTACCAGAAAAGGGAGATATGGTTCTTGTAGTAGGGGAAAATAATGAAATTTGGCATGCATGTATTCAGTCAGTAAATGATAGGAGTAGAAACTGCACTGCTTTATTTTATGTGTATGTACAAGGTACATCACCTCGTAGATATACCAGAGAAAGTTTCAGTCGCAGTTCCAAAGAATTAATTGCATGGGATTCAATTATTAATTATGCTTCTGGAAAATGGCAGGAAAATTGTTGGATAGAATGCTAGGTTTATTATTTGCGTTTTAATCTGTGTTTTTTATTGACACTACATGATTAATCTGTGTTTTATCTTTAATAATGACTCAAAATGGAACTTATGAATGCAATTTTAAAAACTTTTCATTATACCATTTTCCATTGATAAACATCTAGATTACCAAGATAATTGTAAATCAATTTATTTCTAAGAAATTATAAATGAAAGTACCAATTTTTAATTCTCATTGATGGAATGAGTAAAAATAAATTATAATAATTCCATTAATGGTAAATTTAATCACATTCTTAAATTCCCATGGATTGAGTATGGTAAAGTATTTCCTATTATGTGAATTTAAATACCATTACTGGGAATTGAAATCCCCCTCTACATTCCCGTTGATGGGTACTAAGATACTATTATTTCCTATTATGTGAATCTAAATACCATTACTGGGAATTGAAATCGCACTCTACATTCCCATTGATGGGTACTAAGTACTATTATTTCCTATTATGTGGATCTAAATACCATTACTGGGAATTGAAATACCACTCTACATTCCCATTGATGGGTACTAAGTATACTATTATTTCCTATTATGTGAATCTAAATACCATGACTGGGAATTGAAATCCCTCTCTACATTCCCGTTGATGGGTACTAAGATACTATTATTTCCTATTATGTGAATCTAAATACCATTACTGGGAATTGAAATCCCACTCTACATTCCCGTTGATGGGTACTAAGTACTATTATTTCCTATTATGTGAATCTAAATACCATGACTGGGAATTGAAATCCCACTTTACATTACAATTGATTGGTACTATGTGAATCTAAATACCATTTACTGGGAAATAAAATCCCATAAACACTTCCAGTTTGCATTAAAATTCCCAGTAATGGGAAGCGTTTTTCCCATTTTGTATAAGTGCTGGAAAACTGCTAGAGTAATTGAAACCCAGTAATGGGATTTTTTTATTACCGTAAATTGACTATATCCCATTAATGGGATTTTAAAATTTTTTCCTGTGATAGACACACCCCATTTTAAATGGTACAGTTGCATTTACACACTTATCTAGTCTTACTTAAAGTTCATCCTTACTATCATTGCTGTTCAGTTTATTACTCAGTTACCTCAGAAAAGTCATTGGGTCCGCTACAAGTTGATTTCTGTCACTGTCCGGAGACTGCCTCACCTGTCCGCTAACTAACTCCACCACCCAGTAGCCTTTAAAAAATTCCTAAAATCCCCAGGGCAAGAATTTCTGAAAATCCTTCATGGATGGAATCTGGTAGACCCACTGCTTGTCAAAGGACACCTCACATCCAGTACCAAGTAATCGTGAGACCAGTGAGAACCTTCCAAATGTTAGGTGTCCATAAACTACCTCCGTTACTCTATACTTTATCATTGAATATAACTAGGGAGAATGCAATGCATTAAGGGGGCAAGCCTAATGTAGGCATAGATTATCTATGTGCTCTATGATACATGAGCAAGCAAAGCAACTGTACATGTCAATAAGGCTAATACAGTAGATCTATAGTCACTTCAACACTCGTCTCAGTCTTCAGGAATTACACTTATCTTACTGATAGCAGTAAAGATGCTTAGAAGCAGTCACTGCACAAATCATATTTGAAGATTGTGTATCTGCTTTGTTAACCTAGGCTTGCTGCTAGAGAAGAAACATCACCTAGAATAGATCTCACAATGCAGCTAGGCTATACAGTACATTCTCACTTGCATTCAACTTATCAGAGTCCTTTATACCCAGGACAAACTGTATATCTGCTTTTCCAACCTTCCTTATTGCTAAAGAAGTTGTGTGCAGCAGTTTAGTCTTGCTTTGGTGACAGTTCGGTGCAAATAAACTCAGACTTGCTGGAAGCCGCCATTTTATTCATTGTGACCACACCCGTTTTCAATGAAGATTAGGCTATCTAACTTTAATAATAGTTAGACCACAGTATTGTGCCAGTACATACAGACCATAGATACTATATATACCAAGTGGATACAAAACAGGATGCGCCTATGCTCTTTTCGCCGGATGTGACGCTTTTCCTAGATACACTTAGCAACCAAAATGGTGGCAAAATCAATAACTATAAAAAACTTCATAAAAATCTATATTTCTTCTGAAAAGAGTCAGTACAAGAAACAAAAGACAATTTATCTTCATTGGTTTCATATTCATACCCTATTTGATGATCAAAAAACAATATTATAATAATAGTTTTATCATTCTAATATGGTATATCACAATGACATTAAGTAACTTTTTTTGAAGAAACATAGCTTTAAAATAATTATGAAAATATACAAACTGTACAAAAGGCATGTACATAGACACATACAAAATTATACCTCATCAAATTGCATAGTTTCCAGAAAAGGCGTTTACAAAACAGACCATTAATAAACTAAAAAATGGATATATTTCTATTTTATAAAACTGCAGTGGAAAGCTAGTAGTTACAGACCATGTAACACAATAATATCCTTCTTCTACCCAAATAACACTAACTCTGCCCCAGATTGGAGAAAAGGTGTTTAAAGTCAGAACTATAGGTCGCCATGTTTTACAGCACAACGAGATCCAGTGATCAAGCAAACAAGGATTCAGCAGGTCATTCGAGCTAATAGACTTCATAATACTTACTTCAACTCAGGAAAGTAGTAACCTGACCAAGAACCCAAAACTTTGAGAAACAAGGCCAGTAGAGGCTACGCTAGAGCGAAAAGAGCATAGGCATACTGCTCGTGACGTCACCAATATAATTTCGTGTACAATCCACTTCCTGTTTCGCATCCACTTAGTGTACATAGTATCTATGTACAGACCCCAACTCATCTTAGTGGCATGGGGCGAGCTAGCTCAGGCTCGCCCCAATTATTGTGTAGACATTGATTTGCCATTGTCATGAGTTTGCAAGTGCTTGGGGCACAAACTCCGGGATACTAGCAGGGCTGCCTTTTTAGTTCATCTTTCCAGGCTTCTTTCAAGTTCCTTTCTCGTATTGGAAGTAGATTGCCAAGTGTTTAAAAGCTAAGGGCCAGACAATGTTGCCACATGGTTGATCACGCGATATGGTAAGTATACTGGAGTATGCCAATTGTGACTTTGAGCAAATACACCATCATGCAGCCGCCTGCTACACATCCAAGAATTATCATGCTGATACAGTCCTGATAGCCTATCAGGACTGTATAACTGAAGTAATCAGACCTAGTATCAGCATGATAATTCTTGGCTGTGTAGCAGGCTGCTGCATGAGGGCATAATTGCTCAAAGTCACAATCTGCATACTCCAGTATAGTTACCATATCACGTGATCAACCATGTGGCAACAATTTCAATTAAAAACCATGGAAACCAAGGTGTTATTTTAATTGAAAACGGTGCGATATTGAAGGAAAACACTTTGCTGCAGTGTTCTTGTGTTACTAAGCCTTGGTTTCTTTGGAGTTGGTTCTTTACAGAACTACTGTTTTGATGCATCTTGGGACTCTCCGCCCATTCTAGTTAATGTTTATTGACTTGGGTGTGGTTTATTATCACCACTACGCAGACCAGCAACAATTTGCAGCAAAGAGGCTGAAAGAACTTTGAGGTAGAGGTCCATACAAGAAGTTAACAGATAGAGAAGGAGTCGCTATTGGTGAATGGCTCCAGTAAAGCTGCTAAAGAACAGATGAATCCACCCTTGTCTCATCGCCCCACCCCTTCGCTTTTTGAGGAAGGGTCTGGGGACACTCATGTCAGCTCTGTTGCCGACTGGAATGTAATTAGCTGAACTAGTATGGCTTGAGTCACATGACCGGATAATAGTCATATTACTCACGTGATATTAATTTTAATGAGTTGAATAAATTAGTCCATGTTTTTGCACGTGCTTGCTTCTACCTTTCCTTCTTTCTTCTTCTCCTTGAATGTCTGTTGAAGGAATACATAACTGTTTCCTGTGTCATAATGAGACACAGCCTCAGAAGTGGATTTACTTAAGAAATTTAATGGAGGAACCTCTGGTATTATTGAAAAGTCTACTGCTTCAACATCATTCAGAAGAGGAAGTACTAAAGTTTCTTCAGGAGCAGATTATTTTGTGTAAGGGAACTTGTCTAGCATCATTAAGGAAGCTATTAAAGTTGAAGCAGGAATTAATGGTCTTAGAAAATGAAATTGTTAACAAGCTGTGTTTGAGGTTTGAAACTGAGAGAAATGATGAAGATCCGCCACCAAAGAGAATGAGAATTAAACTGAGTACTCCAGAAAAAGATACACTATCTCATACAATAGCTGAAGGAACTCCTTGTGTTTTTGTGAGTAAAGAAATTATTTTCTAATGCAATTACAGTAGTTTCATGATTATTATTTTTGTTTCTTATTGTTAACTATATAGGTACATTATAAGAAAGGAAAGAAGCATCGAGTTTATCGAGTAATAAGGTCACTACGTTGCTTAGCAATGAGTGTTGGTCGAGGTAGTAGAAAGTCTGTTGTTAATCAGATGTTCAAGGATGCCAGAATGAGAAAAGTTACAGTGGAAAGAGTTGAAGCATTAATGAATAGAGAGCTTCGTTTCACATGTACACGTGATGCCAACTCAATGTTTGGAAATAAGTCTTTATGCAAGATTTTGAGGGGTTACAGCTAGCAAATGATATGAAATAGACTCTGCCAACATTATGTAAAATATTGGATATAAGCATGGGATCACAATCAGAAATAACAATAGCATTGATTGGAGGCGTCTTGCTGAAGCAATTTAATTAAAAGATGTCATTCTTGCAGCGTGTGATGTCAGTATTACTTTATTCGAGCCAAACAGGTAATTACATCAACAATACAAACATAATTCATTTTTCATTGTGGTGTTACAAAAGACTACACAAGATCAGGGATGCATGTCACATAAAAGCACTATCAGATACATAGATGCTCTAGGAGTTGATTTTGATGGACCAGTTAAGAAATGGTGCCAAGACATCAGTGAAGTTTATTTTAACGTATGGTGGAAATCAATAACTTTGTGTGACATGTATGACTTATCATAGGCGGCGGAACAAAATTTATTTTGGGGGGGCTGAACATCAATTAAGTTATTAAAATGGGTGTGGTTTTATAAAAAATGGCTGCTAATTTTACAAAAAATGGTGCTAATCTTCTATTGTTGGATTTAGAGTAGTTTTCTTGTCTTTTTCTTTAAATGAAATGAAGAGATGATGACTGCAGGTCTAATTTTACTGATAAAAGTCAGTTTTATTTTCTTTGTTAGTCAGTAGCAGAGAATTTCTGGGGGGACTCAGCCCCTCCTGTTTCAAGACTGGGAGGGCTTTAGCCCCCTCTGCCCCCCCTGTTCCGCCGCCTATGTGACTTATATAATTCATAGGATAGAGAAATTGTACTGAATGAAACCTCAATAGCAGATATCTTTGATACTGATTATATCTCAGACAATTCAAACAATGATAAGGAAAGTTTTTGTTCTTCATCATCTTCTCTTCCTCCATTTTCTCCAATACTTTCTGACATGAGTTCTGATTTATCAATCAATTCTAAACAAGAGGTGAAAATCTAATCTTAGGTTAATTCTGATTTTACTTTATATATGTATATATATAGTCAGAACCAGAGCCTGTTATTGAGAGTTCACGACCAGAGCAGATATCACAACCCACCTTGACACCCGAATTTGTGTCTTATCCATCATTCAAGATTGTTGGTGACAACATTTGAATATCTCACTATTTGTTTCAGCTCTAATGTCGAGGACCCTGATAAATTTAATGCAAGTGAGAAAACTGCAAGTAGTTAGCTGCATGCATGAGATCTTTGTTCTCTAGCAGCTTAACAAAGCAGATATATACAATCTTCATATATGATTTGTTCAGTAATTGCTTCTAACTATAAGCCAGATCACTTTAATTGCTGCAGACATTCTTAAATAAATTAATCAAGATAACTGCAACAATATCTCCTGAACTTAGACATGTGCAATTGCTTTGCTAGCTCAGACATGTACATTATAAATCATACAGCACATAATCTATAGCTTGCTTAGGCTTGCCCTTTGGATGTTTTACATTCTTCTAGTTATTCTTATTCTTTTTGTAGATAATATCACAAGATGAAGCTGACATGTATAGCTTTCTATTTAACCTTAATATTTTGTAAGACTATGACACAACTACCTTGAGATTATCGTCATTTAAAACAAGGAAATACAAACAGGAAAAAAATATTTTTAGTGTCTGGAAATTGGTGATGGCCAATTATTAATTGCTTACTCTGCATGTCCTTATGCTGTGTAGTATCAACTTTGAGTTGATTCGAATTAAATTTGGATTTTTGAATTTTAAAAGTTTTTAAAAAATCAGCAACGTTTAAAATTCATAAAAAATCCAATTTTAATTGGAATCATCTCAATTGAATCTTCTACACAACATAAGAGCATGTAATGTATCAGAAAACTTAACAAGATTTCTATCCTTGCATGTGTGCAATGACTAAGCAGCAAGCAAAGCATTTTAAGCTGCATTTTTGCATAATTTGCTTCAAGATGTAATGCTGATCCTTTACATATACATGTACATTGATTTGCTTGCTTAGACCCGCCTGCCCTTATAATGCTTCACAGTCATCTTTATTATTGTATTGGATCTACTGTACATTAACTGCTGTTCATTCATTATTTATAGGTATAGAAAGAGGAAGCAAAGAATAGACCATACACAATGTCTATTTATGATTTTAATAATGTAATAGGTATTATTGTGAATTTAAATTTTAATAAAGATTATGATTACAGTGAAACCTGCTATTGTGGACACTCTAAAATAAGGACACATTTATAATGAGGACAGGTAGTATCTGTCCCAATAAACTAGTAATGTGTATTAATGAACCTCTGAAATAAGGACACTTCTATAATAAGGATGGTTTTATTTGATCTTAAGGTGTCCAGAATAGACAGGTTTGACTGTAGATTCAACTAGTGACCTTTTCCACGCTATAGCTTTGCACTGTATTCAAGGAGTGGCTATAGACTTTTAAGAATGTACCCCCACCCGCTCAATGTCTTCATTTTGGCTGCTCAGCTGCTAAAGTTTATGACAGGGCAGGTTCCACAACTTTATGTCCAAAATTAATACAACATTAACCGAGGAAAAGCAAATAAAGAGAATACACAAAAATATTTAAAACTAAATAAAAGGCAGCAGTAATTGATTATCTAGAATATCAAAGATGCAAACAATTATATAATCAAATCTTCATCTTTTCCAATGACTTTGACATGAGCCATAGCATGACGAGCTCAAGGATTAGCATTAAGTCTTCTTTGTATCTATGCTTAAAGCATAACTTGTTTTGCTGCCTTTATTTTAAATTTTCAACCAACTACCATGGCTTTGGAATAAGCTAGACCAGGTAAATATATTACATTTCTCCAAGTTGCCCTAACTGGGTATGGCATTATTTTATAGAGATAAACTTCTTAGGTAGGAATTGTATCAAACTTAAAATGTTTGTAATTTTTTTTTGTAATGCTATACTTGGGTGACAATAAATGGGGTTATTTATCAATTCATAGTAGTTTCTTCCAGCTTATTAATTGCAAGCAGTCTTTGGTGAAATAGTTGATATGACACTGATAACTGTAAAACTCGCATTCTTCTTACTATGTCACACTATCATGCTTATAAATGTCATGCTTCCTGAACCTGATGAATTTAGTATTCAAAAACAAGTCCATGCTATATTAAAGTACCTCATTCCTGAAAACATTTAATTTTTAAATTTTATTATTACCTTTATAAAAGTAAAAGTGTTCTTTAAACAGTATCATTGAGGACACACTGATAGTGTGATGTAAATACGATTCATTGTTGTTGTCTCAGCGGTGTGAATGACGCACATGCAGAGTGTATATAATGATGCTCAAAATTTCTGTCTCTCATTATTATCTAAATAATTGCAGTTATTTTAACAAAGATAAGACATAGCCAATTATATATATCATGTATGCAAGATTTTTAGACATTACTTTTTTGTGAGGAATATGATTTACTATGCAGCAATCAAATTGTGAATGACAAACAATCATAGTGGCAATGTTCTATTGAGAAAGTGTGCAAACAGATCTCAGTATTACATCTCAAATTTGGTCATTCATTGCAGTATACAACTCAGCGGCTCTATTATTTGACAGTTCACGAGATTTGATTATTAGCATAATACAATGATTTGGTCTTATGGTCAGTTCACCAATAAAGTGGATTGAAATTGTTATCCATGTTGTCTCCAGCAAATTTATAAATCAAATATACGTTTAGTTAATCCTTGGAATTCACTATGCATGCACTATAGCCAGACTTTCTTTCATCACTTGTTATTTGGCAGTTCCATCTCAACTCTCAGATCAGTTATCACTCAGTGAGAGAGATGTAGCCATCCCACTGCACATATAGTCTTATGCAGTCTGACCAGTTCCATTAATGACAAACTCTAACTTTAGCTAGCTGGAATACTGGGCTAGCTGAGCCTCACCACTGAGCACCGACAAGCTGCACTGAGCCAAGATTTTACATGGTAAAGTCCAATTGTCATAGGTTCTATTCTGAACGGTAGCATAGACGAAATGAGAGGTTATATAAAAGAACGAGAAAGCTCTCCTCTTTCGTTGACTATCGCACAAGCTCCACGTCCGTGCATAGCTGGATTAATGGATTTGGCAAAATGGGAGGAGCTTCACACTGATCATTATCACATGACAATTATCACAAAAAATATCTTATTATTGTCACCTTGTTTCCATGGATACAGTCATGTGACTCCCCTTAACTCATCATTATTCATAAATAAGTAAAATGATATTCATTACAGAATTACTATTATTCATAGTGTGGCTAACAACATTCATAGGATAGTCATAAGTTTTGTAAGAAATGCTGTTTTAATTTTCAAAAAATTGTATAAAATAAAACTGCACCACAAATTAGAAAAAATTTAATGCTAATTGTTGAAATAATGAAATGCTGAGTATACTAATTTTTTAGTCATTGCTCAGTCGTTAAAGCCCATTCTTTACAAATGCCGCTATAATCCAAAAGAACGAGAGTGTCAGCTGGTAGTTCAAAATAAAATACAAAAATCTATTTACTCAGGGTGTGCAAAAATACAGTTCATAAAGGTTTTGAAGTTATGCTTTCATTACTTTGTACCGCCTTATAAGTTTATTGACTCATAATGGTCACACCACTTATGGTAAAAATTTGAAATTTGCATAAGTAGTACATCTTTTTCTAACCTAGTAAATGATATCAAAATAAAAAACAAATTAAATCATAAAGTACCTTAAGTACAGAACAACAATGCTCTTTTGCTGATGAAATACAAAGAGTGACGGAGCAATTATGTGTACTAAATCAATGTGGCGATCCTGTGTACACTTCTATTGCTCCTTATGCTTTGCATGTAAATTTAGAAACTAATAATGAAGGTAATGGTCATGATCCAATATCTTACCATGAGTTATGTCTCACTAATGCAGCCACATTACTAGTTGATTAAAATAATGATCATCAAAATTTATGAGGTCAAAATATAGAACAAAGTATTGGTCACACAGAAGATGCATTGATTCTAGACTCTATTTCAAGGTGTGGCTTTTCAGATTCAGATTTTAAGGCAAGGAAAGCGAGTCTTAAAGAGTCCCTTATGAGAAAGTCCTTGAGAACTCAAGAGCAATACATGATTTTCAAATGAGGACCAGTGAATCAATGCCCTGCCCTTTTCATATTTTTATTATTTACTATTATTTGTATTATTAATAAGGTTTTACAAGACATGTAGAGAGAAATGATAAGAGCAAAATTGAGAGAAGAAAACTATCTTGGTGGAATGCCAAGAACAAGGCTGGCAATCAGTGAACACAAAAACAAAAACTTTTAGCACAAATATAATTACAGACAAAGGAAAATAATTAGAGTAAAGAAATACATGAGAGGGGGAGAATTAGAGTAGGAGAGGGAGGGAGAGTTAAATTAGGAGAGAGAGGATGGGTAAGGCGTGAGAGCAGGATGAACATGAACAAACTAAGTGAC